ATGGGGCCTGTTGAGAGGAGGAAGGGTAAGTTGGGGGCTGGAGGACAAAAGGGTGGGATGGGCTGGAGCGTCCGGTGGGCAGGGTGGGGGCTGGTGTGGGGTGGGGGCCAGTGCCCCAGTGAGCAGGGCAGGGTGGGGGGCCAGGGGCTGGTGGGCAGGGCAGGGTGGAGGCTGGTGTAATGATGCGGTTCTGGCAGGACCCAACTGAGAGTGCCAATGCAGGACAAATCGCTCAGAGCAGGGCACTCACAGCCCCAGGCTGGGGTCCCTTGGCACACCCAGGCACCAAACCAGCCAGACTAAGAGGACTTCGGTCTCACCCCACTGGCGAACCACACGTCACACAAGCAATTCCCTCAGACACTCCAGTATCACCACCAGCGCCACTCGTTATGGGGATGAATGGTTATGAAAACCAATACCCCAGTAACAGAAAAAAGGTTCTCTCGATCCCAAGGACCAAGCCCCAGACCCAAGTCAATATACAAATCAGATCTTACCCACAAATCACGCTGTTGCCAATCCTTTAGAATCTAAAATCTAAAGGTTTATTCATAAAAGGAAAAAGATAGAGATGAGAGTTAGAATTGGTTAAATGGAATCAATTACATACAGTAATGGCAAAGTTCTTGGTTCAGGCTTGCAGCAGTGATAGAATAAACTGCAGGTTCAAATCAAGTCTCTGGAACATCCCCCACTGGGATGGGTCCTCAGTCCTTTGTTCAGAGCTTCAGTTTATAGCAAAGTCCCTCCAGAGGTCAGAAGCAGGGTTGAAGACAAGATGGGGGAGATGCAGCAGCCTTTTGTATCCTCTGCCAGGTGGCTTGTGCTTCCTTTGTCTCAAATACAAGCTACCCAGCACATGGCCTGGAAAAACCTTAGAGTTCTGTCCATAGGTGTGTGTCGCGGAGTGTGGGGGACTCAGGGCCCTGCACCCCCCACTTCCTGCGATTCACCGGGACTCTCAGCCAGCCAGTAAAGCAGAAGGTTTATTTAGCCGACAGGAACACAGTCCAAGACAGGTCTTGCAGGCATAGACAACAGGACCCCCCTCAGTTAGGTCCATCTTGGGGTCCCCGGGCGCCCCAGCCCCCTTGGGAGGTTAGAGCCCTGTCTGCCTCCCAGCCATGTCACCAGCCAGCTCCTGAAACTCCCCTTCAGCGACCCCTCCCACAGCCTTTGTTCAGTTTCCCAGGCAAAGGTGTCACCTGGCCTCCAACCCCTTCCTGGGTTCTCATGTTACACGCTCAGGTATTCGCCTTCGGGCAGTCTCCCATCCCCCAATGCAGACTATCCCAGCCACACTCCCCTGTCAGCATTCACAGACCACAGTAAGAACAGGCCCAGTTCGTCACAGCATGTCCCTGCCTTGCTGAGCACAAGGGTATCTGCCTTCTCTCAGTGGGGCAGTTGTAGCTGATGGTCCTTAATGGGCCATCCAGCAGACTAGGCAGAGCTAACACCAACTTGTCTGGGGTGTCTCCCAGCAGCACAGCACAAGTTTGAACTACAGACAGTCTAGAGCCAATACTTATAACTTTAAATACAAAAATGATACACGCCCACAGATCACATAATCATAACCAGCAAACCAGAACCTCCTCATAGGCACCTTACTTGATCTCCTTTGGACAAGATTTGGGGCCACTACAGGACCTTGGTTGCAACAGTGATCTATACGGTCCCAGTTTGTGTCAATAACATGAAAGCTGGCACTCGGCAGGCAGGGGGAGGCTGGTGCCCGGCAAGGGCTCGTGGGCAGGCTGGCACCGTGGAGGGCAGGGGCAGGCGGGGGCCCAGCGGGCAGGGGGAGGCTGGTGCCTGGAGGGCAGGGGCAGGCAG